AGAGAGAGAGAGAGAGAGAGAGAGAGAAAGAAGAAGAGAGAAAGTGAGTTAGAGAGAAAGATAAAGGTAGATTGTAAGAGAAAGAGACAGGGAGAGAGGAGGCAAAAATAGGGAGAGAGGAGGGGGGAGAGCGAGAGACAGGAGGCAAAGCGATATATATATGTATATATATAAGGGGAGCGAGAGTGGGAAGAGACCGCCACAGAATCAGATGCGCTTTGGTCAGAATTCGACGCACTTGTGTATGTGGCGCCATTTACAATGCGCCCTTGGCAATTTTTGAGTTGTGGTAATATAAGTAGCATATCTGCTAGTGGTGAAGAATGGCGTTTTCTGCATATTTTTTATTGGTGGTTGTATTTGAAAAATAAATCTGTTAATCTATAACACTATTTGTACGCGATAGCTTTTTCCAACGAGTACTGGCGTCTCGATGTATCGAACAGTATTTTTCTAAACAAAAAGCTTTCATGTAAAAACCAGGAAATGTTATTTTATTACATACACACGAGAATAACGAGAGATTTGTCCAACAAAATCTCTAATATAGACACAGCTGACACGCGCTCTACTCTACTGCAGCGGCAGCTGAAATATCATTTTCCGGTGTGGATAGATGTCTCACCTAATATGTGATTGAATACAGATCTGCGGTGGAGCCATCTCTAATGTATCGTGCGACGAGTTACCTGCTTCCGCTTTCATCAATCTCCATTACTGCTGCATCATCAGCACACTTGCTGTGCGAATACCGCCCATATACGTAGCAGCAGCGTGCGTACGCACACACCCACGGCTATATTGCCATCGTCACTGCCGCTGCCGCTTACACATCGTGCACGCGTCGTTAGAGACTCACTCACAGTCTGCGCAGCGCGGCCACAACTGTTGTCCACATCTCTCTATACGTGGGTACGTGGCGACGCGCCGAGTTCAGGCAATTTCATCACAAGCGATTTCTACATCTCGACACTGCCGGACGACGTCCCGCGATTTCCGCGAAATGCTGCATGGACCAGGCGCGCACGAGTTTTACCTAGCGAGTAGGCTTCGATAACGGGTCGTGTATTGAAAGCCGTGATGTCTTCAGTGTAAAGACAGATTCACGACGTGACGTGGTGGTGATCGTGTGTATCAAAACTCGTCTGCTATGCGTCTCGCTACGGCGCGCTGTTCGTATTCAACTAAATGTGACGACCTTGATGGACCAGGATGCTTCAGCGGTAGCAGTATCCCGACGATGTATAGCTGTGTAATGTATGGTCACGGCCATAAACTGAATCGCCTTCCGGCTCGCGCGTGAATTTGTGTGGCGGTCAGTGTAATGAGTCCACGCCTGCTACACGCGACAGGGACTTTGTATAGGGAGATCTGCATCAAGATCTAGTTATCGCGCGTGTGTCGATCAGCGATTGATATAGAGCTACTTGGCATGTATCGAGTGATCTGGTAATTACGTAGAAAGACGAGACGTTGTGCTCACCCGCGGTTACTCCAATGAGGCCAGTTTGCTCAAGTGTCCGCGCTCCGAACGTCCGCTTATTCTCCATTACATTTGTCTTGTCGCGTAAATGCGTGATGCCGCCGCTATGCTAGCTTTCCCCGCAGCACGTTTTCGCTGGTGATGCTACAAGCGACAATAAACATGAGACACCGGATGGCGGATTCTTCGCAGATTGCACTGCCACCACGCGGCGAACATCCGCTGTCGCCGAGCCGCCGCGCGTAGAAGATGACGAACGGCAGCGGGATGCTGCGGAACGTGACGTCGCCGCAGGATGCGGACGAGATGGAGCTGGCGCGTGCCGTCACGACGGGAATCCTACTCGGTCTCATCAACATGGCGACGATCGGCGGCAACGTGCTCGTGCTGCTCGCCGTCTTCGTTAACCGTCACCTGCGCAGCGCGACGCACTACTTCATCGCCAACCTCGCCATTGCCGACCTGCTGCTCGGCACCGCCGTGCTGCCGTTCAGCGTCAGCCTCGAGATCACAGACCGTTGGCTGTTCGGCTCCTTCTTCTGCGACATCTGGGCGGCAATCGACGTGCTCTGCTGCACGGCGTCCATCATCAGCTTGTGCGTCATCTCCGTCGACCGCTACATCGGCGTGACGCGCCCGCTCAGCTACTCGTTCATTATGACGCCACGAAAGGGACTCGCCGTCATCGCCGTCGTGTGGATCGTGTCCGTGTTGATCTCCATCGGGCCGCTGATGGGCTGGAAGAAGCCGACGCTGAAGCCGTACGAATGCGGCCCCGTAGAGGACCTCGACTACGTTCTCTTCTCGGCGTCGGGCTCCTTCTACATCCCGCTCGTCATCATCCTGCTTGTCTACTACCGCATCTACCTGGAGGCGGTGCGCCAGAGCAAGTTTCTCGCCAGCGGCGTCAAGGTGTCGAAGAATTACGGCGGCTCGCAGGCCAACTCGACACAGGTCGTGCTGCGCGTGCACACGGGGAAGAAGTGCGGAGCGGCGACGTTGGCGGTGGCGGGAGCGCACGGCAACGACGCTAACAACACCGAGCTGAGTCCCCGCAAGACGACGATCGCCGCCAAGCTGAGCTACAAGTTCGCGCGGCAGAAGAAGGCGGCGAAGACACTCGGTATCGTTGTCGGCGTCTTCATACTCTGCTGGCTGCCGTTCTTCGTCATTTTGCCGTTGGGTAAGCTTGCCGCGCGCTCGCGTTGAGCTGTGGGATGTGCACACGCACGCACGCACGCTCGCACACACGCAGGGGGCAAACACTGACGCACACGCACACACGCATGCACACGCACGCACAACGCACGCAAGCACGAACGCTCGCACACAGCAGGGACACATGCATACACACACACACACACACACACACACACACACACACACACGCACACGCGCACACACACGCGCGCACACACACACACACACACACACACACACACACACATACACCCACATACGAAAGAACGCACACACACGCACGCACGCACACGCGCAGGCGCTAAAGCACACGCGCACACACGCGCACGCGCGAAAGCACACGCACACGCACGCGTACGCACACGTACGCGCACACACGCACACGCGCACACACGCGCACGCGCGAAAGCACACGCACACGCACGCGTACGCACACGTATGCGCACACACGCACACGCGCTAAAGCATACGCGCACACACGTGTAAAGTACGCGTGTAAATGCGCTAAAGTACACGCGTGAAAGCACACGCACACACATGCGCATGCGCTAAAGTACACGCGCGCACGCGCGCACGCGCGAAAGCACACGCACACGCACGCGGACGCACGCGCACGCGCACGCGAACACACGTACGCGCACGCACACGCACGCGCACACGTACACACACGGGCGCGCGCATGACAACAAATATGTAAACGCTTACACCAGATTAATGAGAATAGAACTTAAACAGCAGTCTCGCATTGATTGGAGCTTTTAATAGCATTATTGTTAATGATAAAAAATGACCAGATGGACACGCTGAACTGCTTTAGTACAATATAGAACTGTAAACTGAAGATTACGCAGTCATCTATTGCAACATTAACTGGTGTGACTGTACTCTTTTAACTTGATCCTCCGCACCATTATACCCTCTATTGATGTTTCAGTACCTCCACCCTCCTGTATTAATTGGGGTTACTACGACCTTTAAGCCCTATCAGCACCTTCCCCTGTTGCACCACTTATTATTACCTGCGCCATGCTTCAACACTACCACTACAGTTCCTTTGCTTCAACACTACGACCACCCTTTCCTTGTTCCACCACTACTACTACCATTTCCCTGTTTTACACGACCAATACCACTGTTTTTCCCATGCTCGACCACTACCACTACACTTCCGCTACATTGCCTGTACGACTAACCACCTCCTACACTACCAAGAGAAGCATTTGTTTCTCGTTTTCTCTACACTGCCGATCTTTTACGATGCTATCTGCAAATGAGCCAGACTAAACCAACGCGGCTGCATTACAATTAGCGCGTGTATTGTACCGCTTCTATATGATCACGTGCGCTCAGCAGTACCTTGTGATTCGTCGCAACATCGCGTGTACATCTAGTCTAGAATTTCGATTTTTCCTTTCCCGTCCGCTGCTCCGTTTTGTAAACCATTTGCGTATACGCAGCCGCGTGCTCAAAAATACGAACGAGACAAAGTTCTACTGCGTTTTTATCTGTAAGTGGAAACCATCAGCGGACTACATGTGAACTAGGTGTGTATACCCCCGGCACAAATGCAAACATCGTGATCAGACTTTACCTGTCGACATGCATCGATGATACAAAGCAGACAAGCATCTTTCTCGGACGCCCTACCTCGCATGTTATCACTTACACTTATTTACACTATTGTGATGCTTTTGATCGTACATTGTCATAAATGTGTCGTTAAAGCTACGCAATAATGTATTTTTTGCGATGAGCGACATCAGACCGCTGTTTGTCGCTACGTCGAGTTGATATAACGCCTATTGTGAGTGCCACCTGGCATTTGCTTATTTTCTTAGCAGCTACGTAGTTGTATCTGCTCCGGGAACATGATCCACAAAATGAGAAATACTCATATCATGGTTGTATCCAACACAGCAGTTATAGAGACACGCATATAGTAGTCCATATGCTGAGAAGAGAATGATGAAGCCGCAGGTAAGTGATTATACGCAACGCCATCTGGTGTTCAGCGTCGATTGTGTGCTATAATAACTCGCTAGATTCTTTCTTAACAACGACGGATATAAGATCGCGACACGCACGCTCAGAGATGAGGAAAACGTATGGCAGATGATGGGATGTTTCTGCGGCACATCCGACGACCTTTACAGAAAGATTTCGGCCATCGATGCCATAATATCACCAAATACCAACTCTATAAACCATTATTATCCTGTTTTGTGATGAACTTATAAACCCAATAATCACTGATGTGAGCTAAATAACCAAGTTGACATATAGTGCGCACATAGACAGGAAGAGGCGCGGAAGTCTGTTGAGTACATAAGCATACACCAGAACCTTCAAAACAGGCGTCGGTGAGAGCTGAAATAACACGTGGCCACGTGAAAATGGGGGTAAAAGGCTTAGCGGAAACACCGATTTAGGCCGGTCTGCTATGTATTGGTAGTAGACTTTCTCATTTGGCATATGGCTTCATGGCATGCACTGGCTTCTACAGACCCTCCCCCCCCCACACACACACTCTTGCTTTACGCGAATGTGTGCATAGCCTAGATTTTCAGGCGGTCCTTGTTTACAGAAGCATATTTTGACAATTTATACGCGAAGCATGCAAGCATGCGCGAGTCTAAGAAGCGATGTGCGATTCAATTACACTCAGCTGGCCTCGTCGCTTGAGTCGCATTCAAGGTCATACGATTACTCGCCAATATTTGAAATCTATTTCGCTAAGCCGAGATGAACGTGCTAAATGAAGTGCTAAATGAAGCGGTGACTCGTTTGACTGATGGCGTCTATGCGATGTAGGCCTACGCAGTCAATCCTATTGATTTGGGCCGCATGCAACCCCTGCAGACAACACACACAGATACTACACACAGACAACACCCGCAGACAACAACCGCAGACCCAACTAAAAGCAAAAGCAACTAACCATCAAGTTAATATTCGAATTCTAACACCGACACGATCCTAAACTCCGTTTGGGTTCTCTAATCTCCAACGTTGTGGTATGTGTAAGAACTCGACTAGGTAACTGAGGCAAGTGTAAGAATACGGACACATGCGCGCGAGATCTCTATTCCGTCTATTTCGTTCGTTTTAATTTTTTGTTAGTGTATCTATCACATACGGCTATAAAAACCGTAGTCTAACTTCCCTGACGTTAGACTTTCCTGGATTAGTGCTGGAAATCGCGCATACTCCGTGCAGTTACTGATTGATCTTTGCATGCTATAATGTCAGAAGTACAAATCACAGTAGATGAATATGAATATGAATATGAATATGAATATGATAAGGGGAGGAGGAGAAAGGGGAGGCGGAGCAGCATGGGAGCATTTTGCACGACGCGTTCCGCGCAACTGCCAGCGAAACCGAGGTAATGTTTCCGGAGGCGCAGGCGGCAGCAGTGATGAAACGCCTGCGTTTTAATCAGCTTATGAGGTGCACCGCGGGAAGGGAGATTTTTGTTATTGCCTATGTAGTTCTCACCGCTGCGTGATTTTTCTCCGGCGAACTTTTTTCCTCATCGGTCGTTAAGAATTGGTAAAGCTGCGCGTGTATATTCGCAATTAATTTAAAAGCGCGGCGTCTGTGAAATATCGTTAATCTGTTCTTAGCGCGGCATGTTTATTTTACCCGTGTTTTTGGGTGTGTTTTCATCGCTTCTTATTTCTACAATCACTTCGCGCTATTTTGGCTGCCATCATGGTCATGAAGATCGGGTCACGATAGGATAAACACGTGCTTGCGTTCAGATTTTACTGTGAGGAGGGTTTACCTCCGTTGGAAATAGGACTGGAGTTAGGGTTATAGGGCGCTAGACTATTGTGTGAAGGCGGCCGTCTGGCAGCCATGGAGCGCGCGGGGCTTGTGCTTTTCACTGTGATTAGTCAGCAAAGCACGGTGGAAGGTTGCAAGACAGACTAACGGATACACAGACTGGACGAAACGCCAAAATAGCGTAATGCTATTAGATTGTGGCGCCGCCCAGCCAATGAAGCGGTACACTAAAAATCTGGCTGTGGTGACAAACCGTGGATGTGTAACGTTGTAACATTAAAACGTCTCTATCTTTAATTCTAATATTTGGACTGGAGTTTAATTATACATTCCTGAATCTAGAAGGTCAAATATTAGTCTTCAAGTAGATTTTGCTTTATTAAACGGCTATACATTTATTTTTACATGAAAAACGATCATCAACACCGTATCACAGACTAATGTACAATACACACAATACATCACAATGCGTAATGTGCACACGTAATGTATACTGTGCTACAGTCTGTAGTTTAATTTATTCCTTAGTCTGTGACCGGCTTTTGTGAAATGTTTTTTTTTTCTACAAACAATAAAAATAATAAAGACGATATAATTTCCATATTTTTTACTCAAATACCATTAATCACATTTATTGCTAAGACGCTTAATCACAAGTGCTGGAGCTTCAGCAATTTACGATTCTGCTTGTTTCTAGGTTGGGAGTGCAGGAGGGTTACTGAATTCTATCAAAGATGGAACTGCATCCTTTCTTAGCCTTTTAAATTGTTTGACTTGCCCTTGTGTTTTTAATAAAGTTGGAAGGGATCGGGTAAAGAAATTATGGAAAATAAGGTCAAATACAGACCGTTTGAAATTTTTATTAGCAAAATTATTTAGCATGTGTTGGTTTAGTTTTGATATTGCTATAAGCAATAATGATATACTTCAGTGCCCAGCAGTGAATATTTCTCAAACGTATTCCATACTATACAATAGTTATATTTTTAAATAGGTACATCATATCACATTTCAAAGCAGCCAGTGATTTTTACTTTTGTCAGCTGGACACATAAATTGAGATGCCTCAAAATGATCCTCGCAAATTAGCTGATATTTGCATTGGCTGTCTTTTAACCCGTCAATGTCGGCTCTTCTTATGTTGCAGATCCATTTTCGAAGTCTATGTACATGATCATCTACATGTGTCATGTAATAATGTGGTTTATTATTTACAAATT